GGCTGGCCGTTGCTCTGGAAGACCCCACATGCCTGGACGCTGGAGATGGTGATCTCAGGTAAGTAAGCCCATTGTCTCCTCAGAGCCGGCTTTGAGTAAACCCCTTCTCTGTTTACCCAAAGAAATGGCCTCCTTTGATCTGGTCAGCAGTGGGCAAACTGAAGCTGGGCGTTTGAATCTGGGTGCCGGAAACACTAGAACAGAGCTGGAGCCTGTGGGTGCGGTGACCAGGTGAAGAGAAAGCTGCCCGACACAGAGTGCGGAGGGAGGCGCTACAGAAAATGAGTGGAATAAGATGCACACACTTAGGTCCCTGGTGGGGTTCGCACAGCCAAGTTAGGTAGAAATGTTCTAGGCGGTCAGGTAGGGCTGGGCCCTGGACAGAGTCAGCACAGAACATGAAAACATATTACAGCCGTGGCTGGAGAGGCATCTACTGGAGACCAGGCCTCAAAATAAAGATAAAATGACCAGGGCACACTTCCTAAAGGACAAGATAAGCGGTAACACTGGGCCTAATTAAGTCCAGAGAGACATCAGCCACCCTGGTGGGTGACCCAGACCTCCAGGCCCATCATTTTCTAGAAAGTCTTTGTTCTCTCCACACCCCCTTGTGACAGGACTTGTTCCCCACTGGATCACTATTATCTAAGTGGTTATACTTGCAACCTTATTGGCTGTTCAGAGCTTTAACCCACATCGTACCCATGTGGTTTGTGTTCTATAAAACTTCTTTGTAAAGTGGGGTCCTGGCCTACCCATTTGGGGCCCCTCCTTTCTCTCAGGAGCTGTCCCCTCAATAAACATTTCCTACCCTTGACCTCCACTGTTCCTAGAATTCATTCTTCCATTTTAGAGAACACAGACTTGGCCTATCAGACATCTAACAAATCGGGAATGATAACATTTCCCTTGTCATTTGGAGGTCCTATTAGTGTAGATAGATAAATTACCTAGCTATTTTGTAGGCGTTAGGCAGGACCAGCCCTAAGGAGTTAATGTGAAGGGCAATCCAGACACTTTCACTGAAGGTCAGCATTATAAAAAGAGAGAAAGGACTGTACCTGTGTGCTGCCCCTGGGGATGAGGAGCAGTGATTGATATTCTAAATAGGTAACCAAACCATCCCTTCCAGGAAAGGTGCCTGACCCACTCCTTCCTGGAAATCCTTGGTTGGTCCTTGTACGCTTGCTCTGAGAGGGATCCCTATTTAATCAATATTACCTAACCCACTATACTTGTAATCTTACTAGTGGACTATAGCTTTGAACCCACCTCACCTCATGGCTTTGCTCCATAAAAACCCTCTGGGAAACAGGGTCGCCCGGGCAACCCCCTTCTGTCTCTCTTAGAAGCTATCTTTATAAATTTTTCCTACCCTTAACCTCTGTGGTTCCTAGAATTCATTCTTCCATTTTAGAGAACTCGAATTTCAGATATCTAGCAGCGTCTGTTCCCCCTGATCACTATTTTATCTTGCATATCACCCCTGTATCAGCAAGACACATTGTTTTCTTTTTAAGGACCCAGTGTTCTATTCATAACCAGGAAGTTGGCCCAGGTCCACTGTGTACAGTGTTGGCCCTAATGAGGTCTGTAAGCCTGTCTTTAAAGTAGAAAGGCAATGGGCTACACAGTGAGTTCCAGGTCACTCTCAATTACATAGTGAGACCCTGTCTCAAACCACCCGCCCCCCGAAAGGAAGGCGAGCCTGATGCGTGGTGCATTTAATCCCAGCCCTGGAGAGGCTGAAGCCGGAGGATTACTGTATGATTGAGACCAGCCCGGGCTACGAAGTGAGACTCTGTCTCAAGAAAAAGAAAAATTTAAAAAAAAAAAAGAAAGAAAGAAAGACAAGGAAGACTGGAGGGCTGTGTGGGTGCCTTGGGACCCAGGAGGGAGATATCTGAGAGGCTGTGGGCTGGTGTCAGGAGGGTGGGGCCGTTGCTGTGTGGGCCGAAGGAGGCAGCTCACCTTGTTTGAGGACCTGGGGCAGTCCCAGGTCAACAACCTTTACAGTGCAGAAGGTGAGGCTGACTGGCGGGCTGGCTTTGTCTGGAAATGGTTTGATTTTCTTCAATCCTTTTATTTTTCTGAAACAGGGTCTCACTTTGTAGTTCAGGCTGGCTTTGAACTCACTACATAGCCCAGGTTGGTGTTGAATTCTTGGCAATTCTCCTGCCTCAGCCTCTGGAGTGCTAGAATTACAGGGATGCACCTCCATGCTGGGTGGGCAGGAATTCATTTTTAATAGAAAAAGCAAAAGCTAATTCTTTTCCTAGATGTGGGAGGGGATGGCCTCGCTAAATCTTTGGCAATTGTTTCAAACGTGCTTATTTATAAATAGATGCATTAGTCTATTCCTACCTCAAAGTAAACCACCAAGCCTGGGTCAGCTACATGCCAAGAAGATCGCGGCCCACAGCTGAGGAGCTGGGAGCCAGGGAGCCAGGACACCAGCGGGTGGGTTGTAGATGCAGATCCACTGTGCTACGTAGACCACCCCTTCCTGCATCCTCCCACGGCCAACCGGATGGGCAAGCTCCCTTGGGTGCCTGTCTGAGGAGGACACTGGCCCCACATGATGTAATAGCTTAGTTCGCTAATCCATAGCCAGGACCACCTGAGATAGAGCTGGATAAGAGAAGACAGCTAGCTCAAGTAATGCAGCAAGGTAAACGTAGAAATGTAAAAGACAACCCAAGAAAAGGATAAAAACTAGGAGAAGGAGGGAGAGGTAAGAACCCTTCCTTCCAGGATGAAGGTTTTAGGCAGAGTTTGCTAAGTCAGCTACCAGTTCCTGCCTCCTTCCTGCCTTCTAGGAACATTTGAAATGCAAAATAACTGATTTCCCTGAATTCAGTTTGTTTGTGAGGAGTGAACTGACTGAGTCTTCTCCCGCCTCTGCTTATTCGCAGGGGAGCTGGACAAAGAGGACCATTCGGACTTCTACTAGAATCTCCTCGGGAGACAGGAGCTATTTCTCTAACAATTTTGTGATAGCCAACCTGACCCCGTTTGTGTCGCATCACCGTTCCCCCACCCCAGAGTGCCCACGGTTGCTGAGGTTGCATCCCATTTGGTGGAGCAGTCTGCAGCTCTGTGTCACCTTTATGACCTTGTGGGCAGAACACTCCACACCTATGTAATATTTTGTTTCAACTAAACTGTGTGAAACTTCCCCTGAGCCCCACGAAGCAAATTTCTGTTTCTGTGAAATCCCACTTGTGCTTCCCCTCTCCTTGAGCCCTCCCCAACTAGAAGAGCTGCTTAAAAGAAACCTGAAAACCCCTTTTTGCTGTTGAGTTTTTCTTTTTTTGTACTGGGGATTGAACTCGCATCCTTGTGCTTGGGGAGGCAGGCGGTGAAACCACTGAGCTGAATGCCTGGCCTCTGTTGAGAGTTTTTTGAGTGCCAGCTGTTCTTGACCTCTGGCAATAAAGGACCAAAGTAGGCTCAGACTGTGGTGATTCTCTATAATTGTGATATATTCTCTGTGATTGTGATTGAGAATAACAATTTCTAATAAATACCCTCCTGGTCCCCCCTTTTGTCCACAGTTCCATTTTTTGACTTAAGGAGACTGTGAGCTTGTCATCCCTGGGGCGTCTGGGGACAGCAGGCTGTGCCCTGTGCTGACTTACTCCATCCCGTGGGGAACAGTAGTTTTCCAGCTGTCCCTTGCCCCAAGGGAAGTGTGATCTGCTCCACCAAGTGCAGCTGAGCAGTGTTAGGGTCAGATCTACAACGTCCCGGGCCTCCCATGTTCAGAGGGCGGGCTTTGGGAAGGCCACTGGATCATGCCTGAGGCGCTGTGGTCCCCCGCGGCTTGGTCTGCTCATCCATTCACAGCTGAAAGTGCTTGGAGCAGGTGGGGCCGGCTGGTGGACATGGATTACCGCAGGGTGCGGCTTTACTTAGGCTCTTGCTTGCTCTTGACTTCCTGGCCGCCATGGGCTGAGCAGGGTTCCTCTGCCATGCGCTCTGCCTCAGCGCCAACCAAGCAGGCACAGACTAAACCTCCTGAAACTGTGCCTTAGCTACTTTCTTGCTTCTCAGACACAGTACCCGATACCCACAAATCTAAGACAGAGAGGTTTATTTCAGCTCACAGTGTAGAGCTCTGTCCACAGTCAGCTGCTCCAAGGCAGGTGGCAGGGCAGAGGGGTTCTGCGGAGAGGTAGATCACAGCATGGCAGTGGGAAGCAGAGAGCAAGATCAAGGGTGGAGTTGGGCCCCCAATGACCCCCCTTCTCTGACCAGGATCCCCCCTTCCCTGCCAACATCACATTTAGCACCAAACTCACCAGTGCAGAATGCACCGATGAGTCACACCCCATATCCAGTGTCCTCCCCAAAACCCACCTGTGAGCACATGAGGCTGGGCGGGGGCATCCAGACACAACCACAGCACACTGTGAGTCCAAAGGAACATCTCCGCCTTTAAATTATGGGTGTCGTGTATCTTAGCCCAGCTGTGGGAGCCTGACTAATGCAGGAACCAACTCAATGCCCTGCCCAGCGAGGAGAGAGCCGTGCTGGACACACGGGACTTACTGAGAACAACCCCTGGCCTCACAGTGCGGTCATAGGCTCAGTCTGATAAATAACTTATCACCGAGTAAGAAATCACCACTTGTGAATATATCAAATTAAATCAGGGCACATCAAAGCTAGGCCAGAGAAGTCAGGTCCATGGGCTTGCTGGACACCGGGCCACTCCAGGAGGTGACAGCAGTGGTCTGGGCATCAGTGCAGTGGCACGAGAGGACCCAGCATTTCCCAGAGCCCCCGGAGTTACAGGTGACCTCAACGGACTCCAGCTCCCTTCCGGAGTGTCACAACAGCATCGAGGATTTGGAGAGGGGCAGCATGCACGGCCAACAGGGGAAGGAGGAAAGGTAACAGGAGCCCCTTCGGGCCACTGAGCTGACCCACCTGGGGTGGAAGATGAGCAGGACCGAGTCAGCAGGGACGCCGCGGAGCCAGTTTTCCTGCACGCTCTGATGGAGGTCTTATTATTTATTTTCTATTCGTGATTGGTTAACAGAATCATCAGTGGCATGTAGTTTGATAGCCTGGTGAATTCAAATATAAATAAATCTGCACTGCCCTTGATTAGGCTGCCATGCTAAGGTTAACACAGGGACATGGCTGGGCCTCGGGAAACTTAGGGGAGTCTTTTGTTCCTCGGTATCACTGGACTGAAGAGACAGGAAGCTGTCCCTGAAGATGCGCCCATAGGATCATCTGGCCGTGTGTCCGGGGCGGGAGGAACATGGAGGACTCGGCTCCGTGGCGACACGTGTCCGGCTGTGGGGTGCGGGGGTTGTGCCGGGAGGGGCCCCATCAGGCGCACCCCTATGGCCTCGTCTTCACCAGAGGCTCCTAGCTGTCAGCAAACTTGGGGTTCATGACGGTGGTGGTGGCGCTCTTGAACAGGGGGTTATCCTGGTGAGAAAGCATAGCTTGTGAGCAGAGGAAGGGTTTGGGGAGTGGACTCAGAGCCGCCACTTAGAAGCTGAGCCAGGGCCGCAGCCCAGATTCCAGTCCCTGCAGCAGCTCATGCACACCCTGGCACACTTGGGGACAAGCTCCCCGGGGTGGTGTGCACACTCCCGCGTGGACAGCCCTGGCCCGGAGCTGTGCCCCTGTGGCCACTTACATTGTTCCACTGGGACTTGCTCCTCTCCTTCTCGAAGCGCCTGTACTCCCGGAGGTCACTCAGGTGGGTCAGGGCCTTCCAGATGACCAGGAGGAGGATGCCGATGAGCACAATGCCTGCCACGGTGCCCCCCACGATGGCGGCGATGTTGGGGCCCTCCACGCACTCTAAAGAACATGCACAGCCAACTGTCAGTGTCACCACAGGTCGGTGGCCACGGACCTTACACTGCCCATCGCTATGGGTGAGAGACGGAACCCAGGCTGTGCCTTCCTGACAGCCCTGTGGCTCCAGATGTCCTCAAAGACCACTCGGCATGGTTGCTCACAGGACGAAGCTGAAGTCAGCTCGCCAGGCCTTCACTGGCCTGTGACTTACGGCCTCATCTGCCAGGACAGCCAGCTGTGCACCCAGAGTTGCAGGTGCTGTGCTGCGCTCAGCTAGGGACATGTGGAAGGCTCAGGGTGGGAACTCTCAGTCCCCACTGGAGCAGCGACCTGGGAGCAGGGGCAGGGCTTGAGCTCAGGCAGGGGGGCCCCTGGAGGAGCAGGCAGGGTCCCCAGATGGTGCCGGACCACACCGCAGTCCCACTGTGGTCTCCCCAATGTCACCCTGGCCTTGGCAGGGAGGCCATTGTCACAAGAGAGGCGGGCAATCTGCCTCCTGCGCCCACCTGAGGAGGGCTTGGGGCAGGGCTCCCCAGGCTCAGGCCTGTGCATCCCACATCCACCTGTGTGTCCTCCGAGCTCGTCCCTCAGGGCTCTGAGAACCCAGGGCCGTGAAGTCCTTCACGTCTTTCTGCGCAAGTCCAGCTCTCCTGCACCATTAGCTATCGTCACCCAGCATGCAGACCAACGGCCCTCACCCAAGGTCCCCACGCTGTCTGCTGGGGCCCTGCTCCCAACCCCCACCCGGCCCCACTGTCCTGCCTGCCGTCCTCAAGGGCAGACTCCATCCACACTGCAGGCTTCAGTTTCCCACGTGGCCACCTCACTCTGCTGCTTCCTGGAGGAGCAGTGGCCACGGACAGGGCAGCAGCCACCCGGCTGCCAGAGACTTGACCTCAGCAGTGCAGCTCAGAGGGTCCAAGGAGGGAGTGGCTTCCCAGTATGCAGTACACAGCTGCCCCTCCTCATGCCTGCGGCCCCGCCCCACGCCCCCTCACATCCCTGAGCCCCTGAGAGGACCCTGACTCCTGACTCGGGACCCACCCAGCGGGCTCTGCACCCTGGGGACTGGCCTGTGCTGAGGGAATCTGGGTCTCCAAGTGGCCCAGTGCCTCACTCCCCTGGATTGTCAAGCCCCAGAGGACCAGCTTGGGGTCTCGGGTTCACAACCTTCCCTGCCCTGTAGGACCAGAGGTGAACACAGGGCTGTGTTTGGGGGCCAGCGCCTGGGCTCCCCTAAGACTTCACTCGGTGATCTGATGCCACAGGGGGACACCAGCTCTGGGGACCCTGCCACTCAGTGGGGCCTCACTGCAGGACGACAAGTGCTGCCCCTCCCTGGTGTGGGGAGGGAGCAGAGAGGAGAGGGAGAGGCTGGCTAGCAGGAGGAGGGCGCCAGTCTGGCCTGCGAGGCTGCCCCGGGTCTGTCAAGCCCCATGGAAGAGAGACCATCCCTCTACTGCCCGTGCTGTCCTCGGGGCAGAGCCCTGGTCACCTAAGCCTCCTGCCCGCCTCACCTCGGGCATCCTCCACGTGGATGTCATGGCTGTCTTTCCCGTCCCTCTGCCGCAGGGTGAAGGTCATCCAGCAGCCCTGGGAGTCCCGCTCGCGGCAGGACTTGCCCAGCACAGCGGAGGTCACGAGTTTCAGAGGCGCGCACACCGTGCTGCAGTTCTTCTCCAAAGGGCCCGAGCCGAATTTCAGGCACTCGGCACAGGAGCTACAGGGTCCCCAAGGCCCAGAGGGTGTGTGTGTCAGTGTGTGCGAGGATGCGCACACGTGCCAGGGTGCACAGCCGAGAGGACACAGGGATGTGTTTGGTGCACAAGTATGCAAGGGTACACAGGGTGTCTGTGTGCATGAGTGTGCACTGGGCTGGGGCAGCGCACACCCTCGGTGTCCAGTGAAGGAGTGGGGTGTAGACCAGGCTCTGTGCTGGGGGGAAGGCAGAGCGGTGGATGGAGCCCTGGCCCAGGCTGCAGAGGCCCAGTCCCCCTCCCCAGTGAGGGCCCACAGTGGGCCACAAGGAGGGGAGGGGTACTGGCTCCTGCAGGAGCCCGTGGGGCTGCCATGCACGGTAGCCTTGGGGTCCCAGGGCACAGGGAGGCGGGGGACACTCACATATGCCTGGGGCAGGGCGAGGAGCAGCCAGGACAGTCCTCACACAGGGGCGGCTGGTAGCCCATGTCACACTCGCACGTGTTGCAGTGACACCGGCCGCGGCCGCT